AAGTGGAAGGGTTCAAAGAAAATCCAAGTTAGAAAGTGGCACTGCAGAGAGAAAAGGATAGGAAAACGTTAACATGGCATTTCTGTGGAGTTGGGCCATGGCAGGTTTTGCCATCAGTTTCAACTTTGAGATTAGCAATCAAATCATACTCTCAACTTTAACTCTCACTTCATGTTTTAATCTTACATTTCTCTTTCATTAATTACACAAATGTCATGTATAATGGAAGAATTATTTAGTACTCAAGGCCAAATCTAGCCTAGTTTATCCTCAAATCTAAGGCCAAATCTATACAAATTGTTAGAGTAATAATTTTCCCGTGAATCTATACCAGTCAACTGTGGACCAACCACAGGGATTCCCAACTGTGCTGATCTCAGACATCTTAATAAGAGAATTGATTGACTAAAGAATCTCATCAACTTCTGGTCATCAACCTTTATTACCACAGGAGAAAAAGCAATCAATTGGAAAAAGGGCAATTGAGTCAGGCCATGTAAACACAATTGCCGCTTTTCTGGAAGGGAACTCTTGTCACCAGACAGAAAAAATACAGACGCACTACTTACAATAATACCCCTGTTTCATTGTAACTGTCCTCTTAAATCTGAGTGGTAAAGTTAAACACATGCCTAAGCCACTGTCTATAGGTCAATTGTGGCTTCAGGCTCAGAATCACATTTCAAAGCTATTTTTTACTTTCAAAACTCTGATTTAGAAAAAAAAAAGTCCAATTTTGTGCTCTAAATACAGTCTAGAAATATGCCTCTGAGGAAATGGCAGAATAGCCCCTGAGCTTTTATCTATTTTTTCCCCACCCATTAGGAAAAGAGAGATGGGAGAAGTAATTTTTCTTATTTGTTAGGGAAATTCAATCTGATTTCTGCATCTGTTTCATCACTTGTAAACCAGGAATTAATATTAATGAAGAAGACTAATGCATTTGAGAAACAGTTGTCCACACATATCTTCAAATGAAAGATTTTAAGTTCTCATTTGTTTAAATTGACTTATGGATGCTAATATTCCATAGTATAGCATGTAAGGGAAAAACTAAATGGATAGGATTCCATTCTAATTACCCAGGTATTCAGTAACAATTACATTAGACAGAATCACTTATGTAGGACTTCTGCCAAAACAATGAACCTGAATTCAATGATACAATCAGTCAAATTCAGATTTGGGAACATCTGTGACAAAAACTGGCTTAGGCTTTATCACAGTGTCAGTGCAAGGAGAGGTCACACACATACACACAAATGTGTATATGTGTGCATAAAGGGCTCAATTACGATAAAAACAAACTAAAAGACGATTCTTGATGAGATACTGAATCAAGCAATTAATAAAACTTATAATGAACAATTTGGATTTAACTGAGGAGACAACAATTTGCTTTGTGTTATAAAAACAATTCTGTGGAAATTATCAAACAATATCATTGATATCACATGCAAGCAAGATTCTGCTGAAAATGATCCAAAAGCGTTTGGAACAATATGTCAACAGAGAACTGCCAGATGTGCAGGCTGGATTTCGAAGAGGTTGCAGTACTAGGGATATTATAGCTAAAGTTAGATGGATCTTGGCAGAAAGTAAAGAATACCAGAAGAATGTCTATCTGTGTTTCATTGACTATGCAAAGGCTTTTGACTGTGTGGATCACAACAAGCTGTGGCTGACTCTGAGAAGAATGGGAATCCCAGAACATTTGCTAATGCGAAACCTATACTTGGACCAAGAGGCAGAACAGAGCAGGAAGACACTGGATGGTTCAAAACCAAGAAAGGGGTCCGTCAGGGATGTATTTTGTCTCCATACCTTTTCAATCTGTATGCAGAGCAGATCATTCGAGACGCTGGGCTGTATGAAGAGAAATGTGGCATCAGGATTGGCGGAAGAATCGTCAACAACCTGCGTTATGAGGATGACACAACCCTGCTTGCTGACACTGAGGAGGACCTGAAGCACTTGCTGCAGAAAGTCGACTGCAGTCTTCAATATGGATTGAAGCTCAACATCAAGAAAACAAAGATTCTCACCACTGGGCCAACTGGCAGCATCAGTATGCATGGTGAAGAGATTGAGATAGTTAACAGTTTTCATTTGCTAGGCTCCACAGTCAACACTCTTGGTAACAGCAGCCAGGAAATCAGGAGATGAATTGCATTGGGAAAGTCAGCTGTGAGAGACCTCTCAAGAGTACTGAAGTGTAACGATGTCAGGCTGGAGACTAAGGTGAGCCTGGTCCAGGCTGTATGTAGTCTTCGCAATTATGTGCTATGCATCAGAGAGGTGGACAGTGATACAAAGAGAACTGATGCCTTTGAATTGTGCTGGAGAAGAGTGTTGAATACACCATGGACTGCTAGGAGAACAAACAGGTTTATCCTGGAGAGGGTGAAGCCGGAATGTTACCCGGAGTCAAGGATTCTGAAGCTTCGTCTCACATACTTTGGGCATTTTGCAAGGAGGGACTGGTCCTTGGAGAGGGACATCATGTTTGGGAGAGTGGAGGGACGGCGCAGGAGAGGAAGACCCTTGATGAGATGGATCGATTCTGTGAGTGGAGTGGTGGGAATGAATGTGTTTGAGACGGTGAGGTTGGCACAGGATAGAACGGCGTTTAGGGCTCTTGTGCATAGGGTCACTATGAGTCACAAATGACTCGATGGCACATAACAACAACAACAACAAAATGCTTGGATATGCTAATAATGTTACGGTATGAAGGAAATATCTGTTTTTAAGAGGAAAAATACTGAAATATTCATAGTGGTGTTACTGAGTACCGCAGAGTGAGAACCGACTCATAGCTGACCCCTCAGCGGTCTGCAGAGTCAGTCCCTCACTGGGGAGGACAATGTTCACCTTTCTACTGCAAAGCAGCTGGTGGACATAAACTGCATACCTTTGGGCTGGAAGGACAATTCCTTACTTCTAGGCCACCACAGAGTAGAAATGTTATACTCTTTGTAATTTATGTTCAACTGGCTATAACAATGTATTTTCACTACTGAGACAAGAAGCAAATTTTTCAAAAGGATAAAGTGTATGGGTATGGGGTAGGGGGAAAACTATTACAAACTAAAAGTGAAGAATTAGGCAAGAAACAAAAATATTATATATTTTAAATAATAAAATTACACATTTTATAAATATAATTTTTGAAATGGAGATAAACTCACGATGTTACAACATAAAGTTATTATTTATGTATTAGGGGGAAAGCTAATCTCCCTCATATACACAAATTAGATACATTAGATAGGCTTAATTATATAGGCTTAAAAATAATAGAAGATCTCGCTAAAAGATTTCCTTTGAGTAACTAGCATCTAAAAGAAGGATGGTGGTGGTGGTGTTGATTGCCGTCGAGTTGGTTACAACTCATAGTGCCCCTATGAACAAAAGGCCTGAAGCCTTTCTATAACTACCATCATTTATCAAAGTTCATAGAGTTTCTAGAGGCATGATGTTTAGACAGGAATAGATAAAATGTTATTCGTGGAAAGAAATGAACTCAAGTCCTTATAGATTAGTAGAGAGGAACCCAGATATTTTCAAGAATACAACTATTATGTAAAAAGAGGTACAACTTTATACTTCTCTAAAAAGGAACTTAAAATAAGTAAAACAGATATAGAAAACAGATGTTAAGCATCAGGTCGTATTTAGCATATCAATTCAATTACTGAAAAAGCAAGCAGCACATAACAACTAGAAACAACTACATGCAGTCATAGGGAAAAACATGGTATTTGATTCTAGAAATGTCATTAAGGTAGTCTATGGCAGGAATGCTAGAAAAAGTAAGGAAAAAAGAAAAATCCACTAATAAACACTATAGTGTTATGATGAAAGAAGACAGCACCTTAGGGCAGTAGAATGAAAGATAACACAGTGTTCTTCCATGCCCAGTTTTCTTATAGTTTTATAGTTAAGTGGAAAAACGTAATGAAATTTTAGTAGCCCCCTTTCTATTATCTCAGTGTGTGTGTGTGTTTGTGTGTGTGTGTGTGTGTGTGTGTGTGTATACACTCTTAAGATTTCTGTGGGTCTTAAGTAACTGCTTCCTATGTATGTGAAAGTTGGACAATGAATAAGGAAGACTGAAGAAGAATTGATGTCATTAAATTGAGATGTAGGTAAAAGAATATTGAGTATACCATGCAGTGCCAAAAGAATACACAGAGGTGTCTTAGAAGAAGTGCAGCTGGAGTGCTCCTTAGACGAAAGGATAGTTAAGACTTTGTCTCTCAAGAGGGGGTCAGTCCCTGGTCATCAAGTTTAGAAAAGCAGAAGGTCAGTGAAGAAAGGAAGAAACTCAACAAGATAAAGTAGCAGCAAAAGTGAGCTTAATAAGCACAGTATAGACGGGGCGGAGTGAGAATAATATAGAACTGGGCAAGGTTCTGTTCTGGGGTACATATTGCTATGAATGAGTCAGAGCCGACTGATGGCACCTAACAATAACAACACAGATGGACTAGTACTGCTTTTCACATGTGGCATAAGCACTCAACTATTTCATATAAACAGACTTTCAGGCTTTCCTGTCCTGACAGAAGGTTGGACAAGTGCCCATTAATCTTGGAGGAAATCAGATAGTAACAAAGTCTGTAGGTTTATTTGAAGATTAACTTAAAAAAGCATCAATATAATAAAAATGAAAAATGTATAGTCTTGATTCAATTAACTCACAAAAATGTAAAATATCCTACTAATGTAGAGTTACATTCTTTGGTTTAAAAGCTATTTACCTGTATAGATTTACTGTAATGTTTTCTTAGAAAACATGCAGTACTTCCTTTAAAAGAGAAACCATGTAATGGAAAGAAAAGATAGCAAGAACAAAGTTTATTATCTTTATGAACTAACCAATATTTAACAGGAGTTCTCTTTTATTTATAAAATAGAACTACTGTAAAATAAATAGAAAAGAACAAACTTCATAAAAAGTCTTAGTTTTATTTTCCAAATAGCATTTAATTTACCTTGTTAATGGGTACTACCATGGTTGGTTCCACTTTGGCATCAATTTCTTCTGGAGTGTAAAAACCATAGAGTTTACCTCCTCTTAAAACACAATATAATCTTCTCCAACTAATCAGACCTTCCACCACTTGCTGAAAAACAATCAATTACCAAATTTATCATTTATGACTTTAACACTGAATTCAACACATCACTTGAGACATCTGTTACATTCCTTTCTAGAATTATTTAAATGTGACAGGATTATCTATTAATTCACTGTGCAACAAGATAATTGTCCAAGATCAAGGAGTAAGTTAATATCACAAAAGAAAATTTGGAATTCTCCAAAGTATTTAGAGAAATGGAGGTAGCAATTTCCAAATAACATCTATGCACACAAAAATCATAAATCAATGCAATTTTAGAAAAGCTAGTTTATTAAAAATTAGTGCTTAGAATTCTATGGCAATTTATCAAGTGACTAAGGAAAACTACAAAAATAGCTCTCCGTGTTCAAAATATAATTTTCCCTTGCTGTTCTCAGATCACTGGAAAATGTTGAGTACCATGCAAGATGCAAATTTTCTTTCCTCCTAATGGAATCTTGGAGAAAAAAGCTATTGATTCATTGAAGCTCATAATTAATTATTTACTGGCTATAAATAACTATGGTTATAAATAAATCAGAAGTGGGTGGCACAGAGGCAACTTTGGAAGCCCAGGGGCCTACACTGTGCCAAAAGCCGCCTGCCAGAAAGGCATGCATGTGAAAGGAGCTGTGAGCTCCCATCAGTTCCCACAAGAAGCCCTCCGCTCTCCTGATTATCTGGCTATTGCTATTAATGAAGAGGGGAACATGGAGAGGTAACTCTTTAGCCGTGGAAACTACCTTACACTCCTCACCTTTTATTGTCTTTTGACCCCTGTATCTTTCACAGTCTGTGTCAGATACATTTTCAAAAACTGGCCTTAAAAAAAAACACAAAACTTCTCAGTATTAGAAGGCCAAACAATTGCCAGTCTATTCAGATTTCAGCTGGAGCTACCACTGTTGGAGTTAATAAAGCGTCCTCTAACCTGCTGATTAAGAAATCCTGCGAATGCGTCTTGAGCCATGCAAGCCGGCTGGGCAACTAAGCGGCAGCACATGTTGCCATACAACGGAAGCCAGAACGAGGACTCCTCTATTTCAAAGAAACAAAGAAACCATGTTAAAAGTATTTATGTATTTAAGGTTATTATGAATTTTAATTTTTTTAAATAATTCTTCCCCCCCTGCTTTGCAGAAAAATTTATTTACTTTTGTGTAAAAGTTCATCCTATTCAAAATACCAATTTCTTTAATGAGACAATGAAATAATTGGACAGCACTAAAATGATAATCTATGGTATGGCATTACCTGGAATAAGATAGGACACTTTTGGCTCTTGAATCCTTATTTTGATCTTTAATGAAATACTCAAAACTGTACAAACTTTACAATAATGATTTAATAGGCCCTTCCCTTCCTGAAGCTTTGCCATCCATGATGGGATGTCAGAGAGGGCTTTAAACAAGGGAGGGACAGGCAGATTTGCATTTTGCAATCATGGTACCAATTTACACATCTGCAACAATTCAAGTGAGAGATAATGTTCTAAATAAGGGTTGTGGTGGAAGTTGAAAACAGGAAAAGATGCATTTCCAGTACATTTAAAAGGTAAAATATCAAGACTTTGTGTTATACAGGTTATATGGAGAATGAATGATGAAAGTATGCAGCAGGGAGAATCTGGGGCAGTGGGCTCCCGTGGCACAAGGCTAAGCAATCTCCTCTTGAGGGTTTTATTGTCTCAGAAAACTTGCTGGAGCTCAGTCAGTTCTGACTCCACAGCACACAACAACAACTGGATGGAAGCTCTAAGATCAGTTTTGGAAAGGCTGAGTTGTGAAACACACAGTCTCAAGTTGTCAATTGGCACTCACCGAGATGTGCGGGCATCTGCCAGGGACTGAGGAGAGGCTGCGGTGTGCCACAGCTGAGATGGAGCAGGCATGGGGTAGAAGACTACCCGGCATGGCGTGTCACTGCCAGAATGGGCCGAGGAGGGCAACTCTGGACTAGTGTGGAGTCTATCCCGAGAAGGGTGAAATGGAGGTCACTGGAAAGTCTGAGCTTGGACATCAGAGCCAAAGGTGGGTGTCTGTTCAACAAGGTGGCATAAGTTGGGGGGAAGGGCTCAGCAGAGTGTATAGTGTCTGTCCCCTGTGCGACACCAGAACCCAAACATAGGAAGGAGAGTTCTGCTGGGTGGGGGCAGAGCAGTCATAGAAAGGGGAGGAGCCCACCCACACGTGGGGTGACCTGACGCACTGTGGCAGAGCCTGGTACTCAGGAGGGTGTCCACACAGGTGAGAGAACAGCCAGGAGTTTGAGCCCAAGTAGGACTGAGGGCATCCCCATGGAAGTGGGGGTGGTTCTGTGGAGGGGGGCGGCCCAAGGAGCAGCGGCTGGTTGTCGTCAGAGACTGAGTAAGGAGAGGAGCGTCCACACAGGCTTGAGGGAGGAGCGTCCACATAGGGTTGAGGGAGGCCAAAGATGGGGAGGAGCGTCCACATAGGGTTGAGGGAGGTCAAGGATGGGGAGGA